TACTTTGATGTTTTTTTAAAAACTTGGATTGTAGATATACTAAAATTTTTTAGCTGAAAATTCTTTTTTAAAAAATTGAATCTGTTGAATTAGTTATAAATAAAAAATATTCTCAAAATCCAAACTGGTTTCGTAGCGATTTAATTAAAACCTTTGCATTGAATATACATAAGGTAATTTAAATTCTATTAGTGAAAACTTTTTAAATTCTCTTTGGTAGTTCAAATGATCCATAAATAAAAAATAAATCAAAAGAATTAAAAGCAACAAAGATTTATATTACAAAGCATTTATGAAATCCAAAATAAAACTCTCTTATACATATTTATGTAAACTCTCTTATTCATGTCTTGCGACTTTATGGATATAAAAAATATATTTTTATATAAGCTTATATTTAATAACCTGAAATACTTCGAAGAAGTCAAATTCATATTTATGTTCATCAAGTCCTATATTTTCATACTTTTCATTTTTAACTGCCCAGTAATTTGCATTGTCCGGAATCTATAATTCACGTTTACAAAATGAAGGTCCGGCTTTTGAATTGCGTCGAAAACATAATTGGATTTAATCCTACCTAATCGCATACGCATATATTTATCTTTACTCCTAAATATAAAACTATCTTCTGTATATTTGTACATATCATCACTTGACCAACTTAAAGGGTTATAACCTCCGATAAAACTATCTTCATCCTTTAACTTTCTAATCACGATTGTAGGCCCTTTATTATCACAATATCTGTGAAATTGCTTAGCTTTGTTTACATTTTTTCTTAATAATAAGTTAAATTTGTATCTGTAATTTGTTGTTTCTTCTCTATCAATCCATTGCATTAACTTTATGAGTTGTTCTTTGCTTATGATTCTTGAGTCGATAGTTATATTTCCATATCGAATAAAATTTTTAGTATTAAATTTTGAATAAATATCAGCTACTTTATTTAATATGCTTTCGCTGATTTTTTCATTGAATTTCGACCGAAATTCTTCAAAATCTTCATTGTTTATTTGATTGAAACGTATTGATTTTAATATAATATTATGTTTATTCCAATCCTTGTCTTTTAACCATAAAATTACTTTCGTGAGAATTTGATGTTCTTTTGCATTTAAGTTGTTTTGTGATATAACCAATCTCAAATGTTGAATAGTTATATTTTGATAATTTTTAGCTGAAAAAAATAGTGTAGGCTTATTAAATATTATTTTTTCTACCGTTTCTCGCATATTATTCATATTCATATTAATATGATTTTCAGTAAAATTAAGAATTAATTGCAAATCCTCGCTTAGTAATATTTCTATGTTGTGTGCAAAATATTGTCTTAAAATATCAAGATACGTATCTATACACATTTCATTGGCTAATAAAAATGTGTCTATAAATTCTTTAACTCCCTGTGAGGTATATTGTTTTTCATAATAAAAATATTTTAATACATTATCCATACCCTCTTTTGTCGCATTTTTTTTCGTTATGATATAGTAATCATTTTCTTTACGGGCCCAACTTTTAGATAAAGCTCTGCTAAAATATTTAGATTGTATCATAAGTATTTGAGAATGAACATAGTAAGTTGTTTCACTGTCACCCACTATTATTTTAGTGTCTGCAAATTCTTGATTGTTGTAAAGAGTTTTAATTTTTTGTAATATGTTCTTTCTCCATACATCCATGATTATAAAATACAAGACTAGCTGGCTATAAAAATTACTTCAAGCAATTTCTTTAATCTATTTATACTTATTAAATACACGTAATTATTTATTAACTTGCTATGAAATTAAAATTCAATTATTTAAATTAAAACAATTGGATGGTAAAAATAATTCTTGTAAACTTGACATTAAACTCAGTATTTTTATTGTCAAAAATGAATCGATACAATCGACAATATTTACATTAGTTCACATACTAATAAAATTTAATTGATAACTTTCATGTTTGCAATTAATTAACTTCTCTATAATTTAAATTATTAAATTGTTTGCCAAATTCAACCTTAATTTCAAAGTTTTTCCTACTTCTATGAAAATAGAAAAGTAAAATTTGCTTTAAGTAATTTTGTATAAAAAGTTTTATTGTCTTCTTTTTTAAACTTTCATTCTCAAAACTATCATGTTCAAATCTAAAGCAAAAATGAATAGGAATAGAACAAGAAAAAAAATAAAGAAGGCGAATAAAGACCATTATACATTAGTAACTGATTTATTAAAAGAAAATGATTTCACTGATACGAGAACTTATACTTACCCCAAATATTCTATCATTAAAGTTTCTTTCAAAAAATATTTTTGTAATATCATCATCTGGCCTAAAAGAATTGATAATAAAGAAGACTATGTAAATTTGTCAGAAAACACTCAAGATTTCGACGATGAACATTACGTAATCTTTGGTAAATCAAATAATGGCAATATAGCTGAAAAAACAGAAGAATTGAAAGAAATTGTCGAAAGCGATAAGTGGCTTAAACTGTTTTGTTGTGATGAAAGTTCTATTATCGGTGAACTAAAAGAAGGTTTATTCTATCAATATGCTGAAGGAAAGAATGAAGCGGAGGCAGAAAAGTTTGCAGATTTCATGAAAAGGAATGTGGAAAAAATTTCATCATTTGATCATTATAATCAAATGTATATCAATATTCAGAAATTCAGCTCAAGATTAAAATAGTGAATATATGATTTGTAATCATTTTGCGTAATTTTAATCTTTGTATTAGTGCATATCGATATAATTTCTAAATATGTACTTTATAAGTTTTTATTTCTAAAAAGGAAATTAATTTTGTAAATTAACTAATTGATTTAACAGTTAAACATTCGTTTTTGAGTATACTAATATGTGGAATTATGTTTAGATATAGTTTAGATATAGTAATTCTAACAAGCGTAAGGTATTTTAAATTCTCTTGATCGAGTGAAAACTTTTTAAAATTCTTTTTGGTAATTCAAATGATCCGTAAATAAAAAATAAGTCAAAAGAATTAAAAGCAACAAAGATTTCTATTACAAAGCATTTATAACATCCAAAATAAACACTCTTATACATATTTATGAAGTACTCTCTTATACATGTCTTGTGACTTTATTGATAAAAAATATATTTATATATATATCGAAGAGATTGAATTCATATTTTGCTCAGCAAGTCCTATATTTTCATACTTTTCATTTTTAACTTGCCAGTAATTTGCATTGTCCGGAATCCATAATTCACGTTTACAAAATGAAAGTGCGGCTTTTGAATTACATCGATAAAATAGGATTTTTAATCCTACCTAATCGCATATATTTATCTTTACTACTAAATATAAACTATCTTCTGTGGATCTAGTTTGTCGAGATATCTTTAAGTTTTTGATGCATCTCAGGTTTTACCTAATTTAGCTGATCTTATGTTGATGAATTTCTGTGTCTCGAATATGCTTTTATAATTTCTCAGTCTAATGTTATCACACAAGACATTGTGATACAAACAACTAAATTTAAAGTTCTCGAAATAAACTTATTTGGATCTACAATGCTTAAAGTATCCAATATACTAATAA